TCGTGTCTCTGTGAGTCCTGACTCCATCAGAGCTCCAGCTCTCCTTGTGTCTCTCTGAGTCCTGACTTCATCAGAGCTCCAGCTCTCCTCGTGTCTCTGAGTCCTGACTTCATCAAAGCTCCAGCTCTCCTCGTGTCTCTCTGAGTCCTGACTCCATCAGAGCTCCAGCTCTCCTCGTGTCTCTGAGTCCTGACTCCATCAAGCTCCAGCTCTCCTCGTTTCTCTGAGTCCTGACTCCATCAGAGCTCCAGCTCTCCTCATGTCTCTCTGAGTCCTGACTCCATCAGAGCTCCAGCTCTCCTCGTGTCTCTGAGTCCTGACTCCATCAAAGCTCCAGCTCTCCTCGTGTCTCTCTGAGTCCTGACTCCATCAGAGCTCCAGCTCTCCTCGTGTCTCTCTGAGTCCTGACTCCATCAAAGCTCCAGCTCTCCTCGTGTCTCTCTGAGTCCTGACTCCATCAAAGCTCCAGCTCTCCTCGTGTCTCTCTGAGTCCTGACTCCATCAGAGCTCCAGCTCTCCTCGTCTCTCTGAGTCCTGACTCCATCAGAGCTCCAGCTCTCCTCGTGTCTCTCTGAGTCCTGACTCCATCAAAGCTCCAGCTCTCCTCGTGTCTCTCTGAGTCCTGACTCCATCAGAGCTCCAGCTCTCCTCGTCTCTCTGAGTCCTGACTCCATCAGAGCTCCAGCTCTCCTCGTCTCTCTGAGTCCTGACTCCATGAAAGCTCCAGCTCTCCTCGTGTCTCTGAGTCCTGACTCCATCAGAGCTCCAGCTCTCCTCGTGTCTCTGAGTCCTGACTCCATCAAAGCTCCAGCTCTCCTCGTGTCTCTTTGAGTCCTGACTCCATCAAAGCTCCAGCTCTCCTCGTGTCTCTCTGAGTCCTGACTCCATCAGAGCTCCAGCTCTCCTCGTCTCTCTGAGTCCTGACTCCATCAGAGCTCCAGCTCTCCTCGTGTCTCTCTCTGAGTCCTGACTCCATCAGAGCTCCAGCTCTCCTCGTGTCTCTGAGTCCTGACTCCATCAAAGCTCCAGCTCTCCTCGTGTCTCTCTGAGTCCTGACTCCATCAGAGCTCCAGCTCTCCTCGTGTCTCTCTGAGTCCTGACTCCATCAGAGCTCCAGCTCTCCTCGTGTCTCTCTGAGTCCTGACTCCATCAAAGCTCCAGCTCTCCTCGTGTCTCTCTGAGTCCTGACTCCATCAGAGCTCCAGCTCTCCTCGTGTCTCTCTGAGTCCTGACTCCATCAGAGCTCCAGCTCTCCTCGTGTCTCTCTGAGTCCTGACTCCATCAGAGCTCCAGCTCTCCTCGTGTCTCTCTGAGTCCTGACTCCATCAGAGCTCCAGCTCTCCTCGTGTCTCTCTGAGTCCTGACTCCATCAAAGCTCCAGCTCTCCTCGTGTCTCTGAGTCCTGACTTCATCAGAGCTCCAGCTCTCCTCGTGTCTCTGAGTCCTGACTTCATCAAAGCTCCAGCTCTCCTCGTGTCTCTGAGTCCTGACTTCATCAGAGCTCCAGCTCTCCTCGTGTCTCTCTGAGTCCTGACTCCATCAAAGCTCCAGCTCTCCTCGTGTCTCTGAGTCCTGACTTCATCAGAGCTCCAGCTCTCCTCGTGTCTCTGAGTCCTGACTTCATCAAAGCTCCAGCTCTCCTCGTGTCTCTGAGTCCTGACTTCATCAGAGCTCCAGCTCTCCTCGTGTCTCTCTGAGTCCTGACTCCATCGGAGCTCCAGCTCTCCTCGTGTCTCTCTGAGTCCTGACTCCATCAGAGCTCCAGCTCTCCTCGTGTCTCTCTGAGTCCTGACTCCATCAGAGCTCCAGCTCTCCTCGTGTCTCTCTGAGTCCTGATTTCATCAGAGCTCCAGCTCTCCTCGTGTCTCTCTGAGTCCTGACTCCATCAAAGCTCCAGCTCTCCTCGTGTCTCTGAGTCCTGACTCCATCAAAGCTCCAGCTCTCCTCGTGTCGCTGAGTCCTGACTCCATCAAAGCTCCAGCTCTCCTCGTGTCTCTCTGAGTCCTGACTCCATCAGAGCTCCAGCTCTCCTCGTGTCTCTGAGTCCTGACTCCATCAGAGCTCCAGCTCTCCTCGTGTCTCTCTGAGTCCTGACTCCATCAAAGCTCCAGCTCTCCTCGTGTCTCTCTGAGTCCTGACTCCATCAAAGCTCCAGCTCTCCTCGTGTCTCTGAGTCCTGACTCCATCAGAGCTCCAGCTCTCCTCGTGTCTCTCTGAGTCCTGACTCCATCAAAGCTCCAGCTCTCCTCGTGTCTCTCTGAGTCCTGACTCCATCAGAGCTCCAGCTCTCCTCGTGTCCCTCTGAGTCCTGACTCCATCAGAGCTCCAGCTCTCCTCGTGTCTCTCTGAGTCCTGACTCCATCAGAGCTCCAGCTCTCCTCGTGTCTCTCTGAGTCCTGACTCCATCAGAGCTCCAGCTCTCCTCGTGTCTCTCTGAGTCCTGACTCCATCAGAGCTCCAGCTCTCCTCGTGTCTCTCTGAGTCCTGACTCCATCAGAGCTCCAGCTCTCCTCGTGTCTCTCTGAGTCCTGACTCCATCAGAGCTCCAGCTCTCCTCGTGTCTCTCTGAGTCCTGACTCCATCAGAGCTCCAGCTCTCCTCGTGTCTCTCTGAGTCCTGACTCCATCAAAGCTCCAGCTCTCCTCGTGTCTCTCCGAGTCCTGACTCCATCAGAGCTCCAGCTCTCCTCGTGTCTCTCTGAGTCCTGACTCCATCAGAGCTCCAGCTCTCCTCGTGTCTCTCTGAGTCCTGACTCCATCAAAGCTCCAGCTCTCCTCGTGTCTCTCTGAGTCCTGACTCCATCAAAGCTCCAGCTCTCCTCGTGTCTCTGAGTCCTGACTCCATCAAAGCTCCAGCTCTCCTCGTGTCGCTGAGTCCTGACTCCATCAAAGCTCCAGCTCTCCTCGTGTCTCTCTGAGTCCTGACTCCATCAGAGCTCCAGCTCTCCTCGTGTCCTCTGAGTCCTGACTCCATCAGAGCTCCAGCTCTCCTCGTGTCTCTCTGAGTCCTGACTCCATCAAAGCTCCAGCTCTCCTCGTGTCTCTCTGAGTCCTGACTCCATCAAAGCTCCAGCTCTCCTCGTGTCTCTCTGAGTCCTGACTCCATCAGAGCTCCAGCTCTCCTCGTGTCCCTCTGAGTCCTGACTCCATCAGAGCTCCAGCTCTCCTCGTGTCTCTCTGAGTCCTGACTCCATCAGAGCTCCAGCTCTCCTCGTGTCTCTCTGAGTCCTGACTCCATCAGAGCTCCAGCTCTCCTCGTGTCTCTCTGAGTCCTGACTCCATCAGAGCTCCAGCTCTCCTCGTGTCTCTCTGAGTCCTGACTCCATCAGAGCTCCAGCTCTCCTCGTGTCTCTCCGAGTCCTGACTCCATCAGAGCTCCAGCTCTCCTCGTGTCTCTCTGAGTCCTGACTCCATCAGAGCTCCAGCTCTCCTCGTGTCTCTCTGAGTCCTGACTCCATCAAAGCTCCAGCTCTCCTCGTGTCTCTCTGAGTCCTGACTCCATCAAAGCTCCAGCTCTCCTCGTGTCTCTCTGAGTCCTGACTCCATCAGAGCTCCAGCTCTCCTCGTGTCTCTCTGAGTCCTGACTCCATCAGAGCTCCAGCTCTCCTCGTGTCTCTCTGAGTCCTGACTCCATCAAAGCTCCAGCTCTCCTCGTGTCTCTCTGAGTCCTGACTCCATCAGAGCTCCAGCTCTCCTCGAGTCTCTCTGAGTCCTGACTCCATCAGAGTTCCAGCTCTCCTCGTGTCTCTCTGAGTCCTGACTCCATCAAAGCTCCAGCTCTCCTCGTGTCTCTCTGAGTCCTGACTCCATCAAAGCTCCAGCTCTCCTCGTGTCTCTCTGAGTCCTGCCTCCATCAAAGCTCCAGCTCTCCTCGTGTCTCTCTGAGTCCTGACTCCATCAGAGCTCCAGCTCTCCTCGTGTCTCTCTGAGTCCTGACTCCATCAAAGCTCCAGCTCTCCTCGTGTCTCTCTGAGTCCTGACTCCATCAAAGCTCCAGCTCTCCTCGTGTCTCTCTGAGTCCTGACTCCATCAAAGCTCCAGCTCTCCTCGCCACGCCCTCTGCCAGCCTTTCACGAAACAAAGCTTACCAAACCTTTCAGCGATTCATGCCGGATATGCTCAGCGTAGTGCACTGAAGAACGATGCTGTTCCTACTTTGTTTGGACCAGCGGGGAGATTCGGGTACACAACCTTGTTGTTTGTGTATTTATGATGTTTCAAACAAACAAGGTATCTACCACGACTGTTTCAATGGGTAAACGTTTTTCGGGCTACTAAGTTGGGATGGTGGAGAAATGCTCTCCGCAGACCCATTCTCACAGCGTTATAAATCTGACTCAATATCAAGCCACACTTATTGTTTTTACTTCGGCTGTGAGTGTTTGTGTGCTCAGGATGAGTTTCGCCTGTCCGCTCCTCGCAGCAGCTGCGAGGAGCAACGAGCCTCTCAACGTCCCGACCAATCAGAGCACAGTGGGCTCACAGGGAGGGGGGGGGGGGCAGGAGCTCCAACAAGGCGTGTAGGACAGAGAGTGAATACACATGCTATCAGAGATGCTGTGAGAAACCAATGTGAGTTTGGAACATTGAACAATATAGATATATTCTAGTAGACCTCAACAATGGAATCATGGTCAGTAGAAATGGCCGTGACATGTGACCTTTAAGCATTATGACTGGATATGAAAGGGTTTTTTGGAAACGTGCAAATATTGCAACGCCGACCATTTGAAGAAGCCAATAAATGGAGGAGGGATGCTGAGTTCGAAAGTTCTGAAAAGGCGTTCACTTCTGGTAAAAAAAAAAATCACATTTTGAAGCTGCTTATAAACAACAATACTCATTTCCATAAGACGTGTAAAAAGCTTAGTTGTCTTTTTCTGATTTAAGAGCAAAAACTGTAATCTTTTAGTGCATTTAAACGGTCCACAACACATTGTCCTGAGGGGATGCAGAGTACTGGATACAATCAACATGTTAGCATCCGAGCTAACGGCGTACCTGTTGAAGTTCTCTTGAACCAGGTTTTCATTCATATAATGCAGCTCCTGCTCCAGGTAGCGCATCAGAGGGTCTGCAGCCTGAAGAAAGGAAGGGGTTTGATATCAGACGAACTTAAAAGACATCTGTGTATTTGTTATAATGTTAAAGTCACCTACATCCTCCGTGGACTTGGAGGGAATCCTCTTCCTGGTGGACATGTTTCGGACATGCGTCTCAATATCTGTGTTTAACTGGAGAAGCAGATGGAGAGGTGGGGTTAGAAGCTTCCCTACGTTTTCAGAATCAGAATACCTTATTCGTCCCACAGAGGGGACATGTACATTTGTTACAGCAGAAAAGAGCCAAAGAAAGCTTAATGCTAACTAAAGCATGCACACAAAAGTATTAAAGAAATACACAAGATTACACAATTTACAAAATACACATCCTGTAACAGTTCAGAAGATTTAGCAGCCTTATTAACAGCATATATATATATATGTATATACAGAGGTGGGATGTATTGGAGTACAAATACTTTGTTACTGTACTTAAGTACATTTTTCTGGTATCAGTACTTTACTCCACTACTTATTTTTCTGACTACTTTGACTTCTTACATGTTGAACACAAATACCTGTACTTTCTACTTCTTACATGTTGAACTCAAATACCTGAACTTTCTACTTCTTACATGTTGAACACAAATACCTGAACTTTCTACTTCTTACATGTTGAACTCAAATACCTGTACTTTCTACTTCTTACATGTTGAACTCAAATACCTGAACTTTCTACTTCTTACATGTTGAACTCAAATACCTGTACTTTCTACTTCTTACATGTTGAACACAAATACCTGTACTTTCTACTTCTTACATGTTGAACTCAAATACCTGTACTTTCTACTTCTTACATGTTGAACTCAAATACCTGTACTTTCTACTTCTTACAGGTTGAACTCAAATACCTGTACTTTCTACTTCTTACACGTTGAACACAAATACCTGTACTTTCTACTTCTTACATGTTGAACTCAAATACCTGTACTTTCTACTTCTTACATGTTGAACACAAATACCTGAACTTTCTACTTCTTACATGTTGAACTCAAATACCTGTACTTTCTACTTCTTACATGTTGAACTCAAATACCTGTACTTTCTACTTCTCACATGTTGAACTCAAATACCTGTACTTTCTACTTCTTACATGTTGAACTCAAATACCTGTACTTTCTACTTCTTACATGTTGAACTCAAATACCTGTACTTTCTACTTCTTACATGTTGAACTCAAATACCTGTACTTTCTACTTCTTACATGTTGAACTCAAATACTTGTACTTTCTACTTCTCTAATTTTCCAAACAGCTGGTTCCTTTAGTCTGAATGTGTGTTTGATGCGTGATCATTATTCTTTAGAGTCATTGCGTGCCTATTGATTTGAACACGATCCGTGTATCCATCATTTCCTGGTCTTCTCTAAAGAAGAGGGACCAATGGAAACGTTGTCATGTTGCCGTTGTTCAGCATGGAAACATTCATTAGCTAACAATGACATTATTGTTCTATTAATATAAAGGGAGGTCAGGTACTCTTTAAAGCAGCTGCTAGTTATGGGTACTTTTTACTGAAGTACATTTCAAAGCCTCTTTACTTTGACTTGAGTAAAGAAGTTTAGTCAGTACTTCTACTTTCACCAGAGTATTTTTAAACACGAGTATCTGTACTTCTACTTGAGTAAAGTGTGTACTTTTGCCATCTCTTTATATATATTGCATATAATTATTACAAAAAAGTTGTTGTAGATGTAAGGATGTTCTCGATGCTTCACCTGCTTCCCCAGAGTGTCTAAAGCGGACCGTATCTCTCGCGCCAGGACGCTCTTGGTTTGCTGCAGCTGGGCGGGCAGCGTGTTGTGAAACTGGTTCTCTCCGATCACATTCTGGGTTCGATCCCGAAGCCCGGCCCAGTTCAGCTGCGTGGGAAGACGGGTCAGAACCGAGCGCAGGTGCTCCAGGTCGTTCACCACCACACACAACTGGGAGAAGGATGATAGCATTTAAATAAACGTTAGGTCAAAGTATCGGATAAACAGGAGATCACTAGCATTGACTTAAAGGAGCCTCATAGCTTGACTGTTGAATTAGATTGAAATAACATTGGATATGGTGAACTAAATGTTGGGGGTGGTTAAAATAATAAGCATTAGTTCAAAGAAAACAGCTAAAATAGTAACATTTGCCCAAATAACTTTTAAAGTCAGCATTAGTTAGACATAACGGATGAACAGTGGGGAAAGTGGATAAGAGTAACGGATGAAAAGATCAAATGAATGGCTGAAGAGTGAAGAAAAACAGGTGAAATAACAAGTGTTTGCTAATTAGAGGCCTAAAGAATAAACGGGTAAAAGTAACAGATAAACAGGTTAACATTAGTTTGGGAAATTGCAAAATTAGACGTTTTGCGTTGCAGGTGAACAGGAACAATACTTAGCATTAGTTAAAACATGTAAGCTGATATACTTCGCTAAAAGTGGCCTATTGGTTAAACATTTGAATAATTAAAGTTAGCTAATAATGATGAATGAAGGGTGGATAAACTAAAGCTAATGGGAAAAAGTGGAATAATCTGCTAAAAGTAACGAATAAACCAGAGAAACAATTAGCTTTAAAGTGAAAGATAACCGGTTGAAATTAGATATAAGTATTATATAAACCGGGGAAATGATTAGCTAGAGTTGGACAGTTTTCAAACTATCTAAGGCTGTCTCCTCACCATGTTGATGGCTCTGCCGTGGTCCGAGTTCTCCGACAGCTCCCTGACTCTCTCCTTCAGTAAGTTGCAGTAATTCACCACGATCTTACACACATCCTGAAAACACACAAACACACATGTATTATCTCGCATCTCTCCTGTCAGACTAGAGGACAAACAGAGCCGAACGTTAGCATTAGATACGCCTCGTTTGCATTCCTGTAACACATAAATATAAAAGATGAATGTGTTAATGCGGTGATATCTGAAAATGAAAACCTAAAGTAACTGAAATGGGTGTTGAATCTGCTATAAGTCATGGGGAAACAGGTTAAATAATTAGTTTAGGCTCAGATTAGATTTACATTTGACAGTGTGAGGTAAGGGGACAAATAATAAGCTAACAGCAAACAATGAAAATGATTAGCTTTAGCCAAGAGTAAGCAGCTAAACTAGCCTTATGGATAAAGGCTTTAAATAACTGGCGTTAGCTAAACGTTGTATGTACAGTGATAATTGTTTTGACAGTCACGGATAAACAATGGTAGCAGTTCATATTCTTCAGTTACGGTGCGTCCACACGGCAGCGTCGCGTTGAAGCTTGCCGGTGGGCGTGTCTGGTGCGCGACCAACAACCAATCACATTAATCTCCCGCCCCGGACACACAAGCACGTGGTTTGATTGGCTAGAGATTGTACTGGCATATGATTTGATTGGCTGACGCTTCTGTCGACGCTTGAAAAGTTGAACTTTTCTCAACTTTCAAAGCGAGCAATGGAGGCAGAGCGACGCGACGGAACCACAATGCAGTTCGGCAAAGTGTGACGTCACCCCATTCAAAGTGAATGGGAAGCGTCTAGGGTAGGGTAGTACCTCAGTGATTTTGACCATGAGCATGAAGGCCTCCTCGGGGTCGGGCCAGGACAGTTTCTCCCACAGCTGGCAGATCGGCTGGATTAAAGCCACCAGATCCACGGCGGAGGAGCTGTGTTTAATGGGAACAGATCCAGACTGCAGGGGCTGGAGCTGAGAGGGGGGGGGGGGCACATCATTATCCTCTGAAGGAGATAATATTAAAGCATCAGAACACAGACGTGGGAAGTAGTGGAATACAAATACTTCGTTACTGTACTTTAAGAGCATTTTCTGGTATCAGTACTTTACTCCACTACTTATTTTGCAGACCACTTTTTACTTTGACTTCTTACATGTTGAACACAAATACCTGTACTTTCTACTTCTTACATGTTGAATTCAAATACCTGTACTTTCTACTTCTTACATGTTGAACCCAATACCGTACCTTTCTACTTCTTACATGTTGAACCAAATACCTGTACTTTCTACTTCTTACATGTTGAACTC